TGTGTGCTTTAGATTTGTGTTTCATCAAATATACTCATGTGCTTCATGAATGGTCATCAACAATGGTTAAAAAATATTGTGCACTAGAAAAAGATAGAACATGATAATCACCCTAAATGTCAATGTGAATTAAATCAAAATAAGATGCACTACGTGTAGTGTTTAATAGAAAATGTTGTCTAGTAAGTTTGGCTAAAGGATAGATAGAGCAAATGCTTAAAATACAAATTTTATTTACAAGGAATGAAAATAATAAAGATGTTTTATTTGAAAGGTGACCAAGTTGTTGATGCCACAAGTTATCTATGTTGGTGTGTACTGCATTGCATGTTCCTTTCTTTGATTGCTTAAGGCAATAAAGTCCCTCCTTCTCAATTCCTGTCCTAATCATCTTCCCTAATCATAAGTCCTATATGATACAAATTTGTCTGAGAAAGATAGTCATATAAAATGAATCAAATGCTAGTTTGCTGATAGGAATCAAGTTGAGATAGAAGAATGGGACATGAAGAACATTATGAAGAATAAATTGGGGAGAGAAAGCTACTGTGCCAAAATGAGTAATATGTGTTGAGGTTCCATTATGAAGTTTAACCTAACAGTTATGGACTGATTTTAGTGAGGTAAGTAAAATCAGGTTACAAATAATATGATCATTTGTGCTACTATCCATTATCCATGTTGTCTCTTTACTACTTTATGCAAGCTAAAATGCTTTACCTGAGAGTTTCTCATGATTTAGAACATTATCGACTAGGTTGTCTGAGGTAGACTTCATTGTTGTTAAAAGCTAATTGAGAAGTTAATGACATTCTTCTTGTGAAAAAGAAGAATCAGTCAAAGCTTCCTTACTGTTATTTTGAGGGGCTATTTGATTTGCTTTTGATCTTATTTGTCCACTTTCAATAACGTTCTTCCTCATTCGACAATAATCATAGGTATGTCCTTTCCTATTGCAATATATGCATTTAAGATGAGCTCTACAATTTTTTGTGTTGTGATTATTCATATTGCATTTTTCACAAAATTTGGCTTCTCCTTAGTAAGGTTAAAATCATTGGTCACCTTCTTTACTATAAAAGCAAATGCTTTTAGTGGTGTTATTGACTTTCTAGCAAAGAATCCTACCTATTTCTCATGATGTAACACCATTGTATAGGCTTTGTTCAGGTTCGGAAGAGGATCCATGCCTATTATGTTGCTTCGGGTTTGTGCATAGCTTTCATTAAACCCCATCAGGAACTTCATAGTCTTTATTGTTTCCATAAAAGTTTTAACCTTGGTAATTGCCTCATAATTGCAAAGAAGAAACACAAATAGGGCATCCTTTTCATCCTACAAGCTTTTGAGCTTCATGAAAAAGGACATGATTGAGTTTGCACTTTGTTCATAGTCATAAATATGATTTTCTATATAGAACAATGAAACTATATTAGTTTGAGAAAATCTCTCTTTTAGCTTTAGCTATATGCCTTGCATCCTTGCAATGGATGACACTCCCTAAGATGTCCTTCGGCATGGCTCCCAGTAACCAGATTTTGATAAGAATGTCACAATGGTCCTATTATTGTTACTCATTAGAATTGTAAGTTAGTCTTTTAAGGGTTCCATTTAGGGGTGTTCAAAAAAACCGAAAAACCAATTAAACCGAGAAAACTAGAAAAAAAACCGAAAAAACCGAACCGAAAAAAAAACTGATTAAATTGAGTAAAATTTTGAAAAAATCAGCCGGTTCGGTTTGGTTTCGGTTTTATAACCAAAAAACCGAACCGAATTGAACCGAACCAAAACCGGAAAAAAAACCGAGCCAAACCGAGAAAACCGAGCCAAAATCGAGCCAAACCGATTTGAACTGGTTTTTCCCTTAAAAAACCGAACCGAACCGAAACCAGTCGATTTGACCCGGTTTTGGTTCGGTTTCGGTTTTTTTTTTCAATTTTTTTTTTTTCCGGTTTGGTTATTTTTTTTTAATAAAAACCGAACCGAACCGAAAATGAACACTCGTAGTTCCATTTATAAAGCCCTTACTGTTTTTTATAGTAAGTGTCATGCTCATTGACTATACCTATGTTGTGTAATTTTCTTCCATCAGCAATTGTGAAATGAGGATAACGCTTAATTGATCAGAGTGGTGGATAAAAAGTGGATAATTGGAGTTTTCCTATGGTTTTGAGGTCTTCAAAGAGTTCGAGGTTTTGATCAAGAAGCTTTTGATCTTCATCACCAGGTATAAAGTATTTGGCTGTATGGATTCCTAAGTTCTCAAAACCAGAGCTCTGGTATTATAAACAGAATGAGAGCTCTGGTATCATAAACAGAATGATGATGTGAATGTTTTTTGTATATTTTGTATATTGCAAAGATACACAACATATATATGTAGTTTACATATAATCCGATCCACCATTTCAGGAGTTATTATAGGATTAACTTTGGTAAATTGTTTAATTCCATTAATTACAATATATTACCTAATTACTTGGGATTCTTTTCTTTAATAGTTATTATGTTAGAAGGAGATGATGAACCATGGTTGGTTGTTTGTTGGGGTTATTGTGGGATGTATCACGATGGAGCTTGGGTTATTGTGATGGTAGCATGATGGTTAGGTCAAGTATGCTAGTGTGATTGTTTTGCTGGCATGGTGATTATGATTAGTGCAGATGAGGTTGTGTAATGTTAGTATATTGGTCTTATTTTTTTTATTTATTTGATTAAATATTTGTAATTTTTTTAAAAATAATATTATTATTGATTTAATAAGAAAAATTAATAATTTTAAAAATAATATGTTAAAAACCAAAGGTATTAAAAAAATATTTAAAATTAAATGTTTTTTGAGACAGGCTGAAAATACTAGAAGCAACACAAATACATCAATAACATAATTTTTTTGGGTTTTTTTTTTTTATTTTTTCCCTTAAAAATAACGTGGAAATGAGGTAACAGGACCAAATGATTAGAGAAAAGAACCTTGGGGCTAGCAAATTAAACAATATCTGTGACATGCCGATCCAATAGAGAATTGAATTATACAGTAGAGAAGAAGCAAATGGACTATACTCTACGAGGAATAGAGATGTGGAACAACACTGCAGCATTTAAAGCAGGCCGAGGTCGATCGGTGGCGAAGGTTACAGGTGGAATATTGCATGGTGGTGTGACAGCAGTATGGCGCATGTAGTATAAATGTACACTTGCCAGGTATTTGGTGGGCAGGGCATCGTGGAGAAATACAGAGAAGGGGATATTGTAAACAGAGTAGCTGCAATCTTACTGGATACTGCTATTATAACAATAACAGGGGGAGGAAAATGAAAAATTTTGAATGTTTTTTTTGTACTCATCTTTTTTGTTTTTTGAAACTATTGATGGGATTGGGAACTAACATCGGCGACCCCTGCGGCAGACTAGGGCTCCAGCAGTTGAAGTGATGTCCCCGACCATCGATGAGGACTTGGCCCCTAAGCTTGAGGCCCTGGCATAGCTGGCTGCAGCTCCAGCTCCTGATGGAATGAAGTAGGCTCCGTTTAGCAGGAGGTCGCCTTCTGATCTCCAATTCCAATGCCTCCATACTCCAGTTTCCGTGTCTACCCTTTTTGTCACCTGCCAGTATAAATTTTGTTCTCATGACTGCAATCATCACATGATCATCGCTATCACAAGAAATTGCATGTTCATTTAGTATACCTCTTTGGCAAAAGCGTTGGCAGGGGCAAGATATCTGTTGCCCTGGCTATTAATCGTGGGATTAGCACTTCCTCCAATGGCATACATTTCCCAGTGCGTGTAGTCATTGTTCACTACGTGGAAATACCCATGCCTGCATCTGTAAGGTTTATGAATTGAACTCGTTAAGATCATTCTATAAATCATACGAGGAAACCGCACAAGGGATATATATTGATGGTCAGTTACCTGGG